GATGACCCAACGCCGGTTGTGGTTACCTCTAGGCAGGAAGGGAGGGAACTGATTCCTAGAAGAGTTATGGCTGCATTTCAGCAACTCTAAAGCACCCAGTGCCAACCAGACCAAACCAGACAAAACTAAACCAAAAACAGAGCAACCTCCCCGTATTCAAGGAGCAGGACCAAAGAGCAAAGAAGAAAATGGTGAGCTTTGATGTGGCTGTATTCTTTGGGTCTTTTTCTGTTGTCTTTCCACTTTTAGGTGTATGTTATGGTTTGTGTCTGGGTGTCCCCCCAAATCCTCATGCAGTCATGGGGCAGGCTTCTAGATTTTTGATTGATCCATAGTTAATCCTATGGATCCTTAATGCTGGGATTAAGGGTGTGAGCACTACACCTGTCCTGGGGTGGATAGTTTGCATATATAAGGGAGAGAAAGAGGCTGCTTGCCATCACTCCTCCCCTTTTTGCTCTTGTTGCTTTGCTATCTTCTGCCACCATGAACTGTTGCCCTCTGCCATGTGCCACTCTGCCTTGGAGCCAGCCAAGTATGGACTGAAACCTTTACAAACTGTAAGCTAAATAAACCTTTCCTTTCTTAATTTTGGGCATCAAGTATTTTGTCTCAGCAATGAGAGAAAAGTAGCCAAGACACTGTACTTGTAATATTTTATTAAAAAGTAAAAAAGGAAGTCATCATGGTAGTGCATGCCTGTAAACCGAGCACTGTGGAAGCCTGAGGCAGGAGGATCATAAGTTCGGACTTAGTCTATTCCCGTATAAAAAGGGATGGGCTCAATGTGAAGACCCTGGGTTCAATCCCCAGTACTGCAAAAAAAGAAAGGGGACAGCAAAAGAACAAAAGGAGGAGAAGCCAGTGTGGTGGTACTGCCAAGCTTGAGAGTGGACACCTGTAATCTCAGCACTTGGGAGGCTGAGACAGGAGGATCACTGCAAGTTCAAGGCCAGCCTGTGCTACATTGTGAGTTAGAGGACAGCCTGAACTATATAGTGAGACCCTGTTTCATCCCCACCCCTCAACAAACAAAACACAAAGTGAAGCACTCTGGCCATAGCCTCCAGGGAGGTTTTGCATGTCCTCCTGAGCACCCCCTTGTCAGTTTGTCTATGCTTGGGCCACTGGCTGCTGTGGTGTAACTGAGGCTTCATGCCCAGGTAGAGCACCCATGCCAGCGCCCCGCCAGAGATGTCCACTGTGATACATGTTATTCTCTTTGATTCCAACAGCTGTGCAATTTTGTTATTGCTATTACCTCTTAATGTCACTTGGAATTTAATTTTAGAACAGTCTGAGATCTGAAATTCATTTGCCCTTTTCCTTTTCTACTTGGAAGTCCCAACAGTACGTAACCAGGAAATAACACCAAATTTTGTTTAAAGGAGCATTATGGGGGGTATAGCACACCAGCATGCATTTTTTAGAAGTATTTCTACTGATTAATTACTAACTTTAATTTTGAGTTTTATTATATTAAACAATGTGTACTTAACAGTAAAATATCAGTAAAATTTTAATATGTAAAATAAATGTCAACATTTTAAATATCAACTGTTTATCTTACAAAATCTAAAAAATAACAGCAAAATTCATATGTGAACTATAATGAAAATATAAACAAAACTCTAGCACAGAAGTAATCTTTGCTTAGTTATCACACTTGAGGCAGTCTTCACACATGACAGCAGCATGTTCCATGCGCAAGTAGTGCTTACACTGATCACATGTGTGTTCTGTTTCCCTGGTTTCCGGTATGACATCCTTGGCACCTTACTTGTCTTCCTGCTTTCTTTGGAGGTTCTTGTGGTGTTTACTGGTCTGCTCTAGAATTCTTCTGTGGAGTTCTTCGGGCAGATATATGTTGTTCTTCCTCTGCTGTAACTGATGATTTATCAATCTCAGTCCCAATCCTCTAAGAAAATTTCTCCATGACATGTTGTGCTTGTTATTTTCTTTGTAAACTATGAAACTATGCTTCACATGTTTAGGATAGAGTAAAACACAACCACTGGGCAATGCTTTGTGTTTTGAGTGACATCATAGTTGCTCAGAACTCCTTAACATCTACTCTGCCTTTCATATTATTGTAAAATGTGAGCTTTTATGGCTTCATTTGTGTTGAGGATTCATTATCAACTTTTTGTTTGTTTGTTTTAAGACAGAGTTTTACTATGTAGTCCAGGTGAGCCTTGAATTCCCTTTGTAGCATAGGTTGAACTTGAACTCACAGCATCCTCCTGCCTCAGCCTCCCAAATGTTAGGATTACAGGCATGTGCCACCATGCACTATAAGTCTTATCATGGTGGAAAGCTGACAGTATCAATACTACTTTGTTTTTCTTCATCATATAGGAGGCCAATGTTTTCTTTTTCTGAAATCCAAAGATTGCCTATACATTTCTCTATTGTGAATTTGAAACATTTTTTCAGGAATCTCTGCTTTCAGACAGGGTCTCACTATGCAGTTCAGGCTGGTCTTGAACTCACTTTGTAGCCCTGCCTAGCCTTGAACTTGAAGGGAAACTCCTGCCTCCTGAGTGCTGGGATTACAGGCGTGTGCCACCATGTCCCTCCAACTGGTTTTCTTTTAGCAAATGTAACATCAATGGGTAGTTAGTGAATTAACTGTCAAATGTGACATTTGGGTCACTTTTTAAAATAGGTGCAACAAGCCTTTTCACAACATCATACAGTTTTTTTTTTTTTTTTTCCCAGTACCGGGGATTGAACTCATGACCTTGTGCTTGCTGGTCAGGCGCTGTGCTGCTGAGCTAAATTCCCAGCCCCAACATCATACACTTTATTACTGCACAAATCAAGGCCTGGTGGCTGAGTTTTAGAATAAATTTCTCAATTCAACATATAAAATGTCTTTGCATCTACCAGGACATATATTTTAATACCATATTTGGAAGGTTTATATGGCATATGTTGCCAAAACCTTCAACAACCATGAAATGATGCAAGTTGTTTGTCAGTTGTCACGTATTTGGATGGTGTGTAAACTGCTTGATAGTGTGAAGCAAAGCTTTCAAAAAATGAGTAAATAGCAGCCAAATTGTTGGGTTTTTTTCTTTCTTGGAGGGTTGTTTAGTCATCAAAACATAGTTAATTCTGGAGTGTTATTACTGTTCTAAAACCCTGAATGCCTCACCTGTCACTTCTCCATAAATCCTTTAGATTTTGATGACTAGAATGATGAAGTCCTGCTATGAAGGCTTTTAGTTCAGATAGTGAGGTATCATGATATATTTTTGAGTATTACTATTGATGCATATAGAATGTTTTACTTACTTGTGTGTATGCGTGTGTGTGTGCATGTGTGTCTTTGAGAGGATCTCACTATGTAGTGCAGTCTGGCCTTGAATTCACTTATGTGGCCCAGGGTGGCCTTGAACTCATGGCGATCCTCCTGCCTCAGCCTCCTGAGTGTTGAGGTTTAGAGGCGTGTGCCACCACCCCTGGCTAGATGACTCGCTTTCAAAATCCTCCCGAAGCTATCAAAGCAGATTTTCATGTGACATTGCACTGAATTGGGCTGATTCTACAAGAAAAATCAAAAGGAAACACTTAATAAAGCACATCATAAATACACAAAAACGTAACAGTGCATAAAGTGCGAAAAACTCGCCTTTTTACACTTTGTCACATGTATACATCCCTTGTCATTTGTAGTACCAAATGGGAGAACACAAAGACCACTTCCTGTATTCCCCAAGCACCGTTACTGAGAGGCACAGCCAGCTGCCCGTATGATAAAGCACACATTTTCATTTAAAAAGTATGGATGGAGAGTTTTTAGCCCCCTTGACGCTCCGAGGGTTTCCTCAATGACTTACGGGTTCTAAGTGTTTTGCGTGCTTGTGTTTTTTAGACTTGGGTTTATTTCACTGAACTGTCATAAATGGCCTTTGCCTTAATGACTATGATTTGATATAGTTTTTATATATACATTAGGGGATTCTCTCCTCAGTTTTTTCCTGTCTTTCCTTCACTTTCTTAACTATTTTTTGGTGAGGTACTGAGACTTGAACCCAGGACCTTTGTACTGAGCTACGTCTCAGTCCTTACTTTTTTTTTTTGAGATAGTTTTGCTATACAGTTCAGGCTGACCTTGAGCTCACTTTGTAGCCCAGGTTAGCCTTGAACTCACAGCAATCCTCATGCCTCAGCCTCTTGAGTGCTGGGATTACAGGCGTGCGCCACCACGCCCGGCAGCAAAGGGCCTTCTGATTCAGTCAGAGATCCTGGCCTGCCCTGCAACCAAGATCCGAGTTCTCCTGGCGTCCCACCAGCACTGGGCAGGCTGCTGCTTCAGGTTGCGCTTGCTAAGGTCCCACGGTGGGCGGGGCCAATAGATGAGGCTATAGCTGTCAGAAAGTGGGGAGTCCCACGGCTGGGAATGTAGCTCAGTTTTAACAGCGCTTGCTCAGCATGCGTGAGCCCTGGGTTCAATCCCCAGTCAGCAAGAAACATAAAACAGTGGGGAGCCAGGGCGCAGATTCCCACCCAGTTCTGCTGCCACCCACAACTCCCGCGATCCGGCCACCCGGTCCCGCCCACGCCCCGGCGTCCAGGGGAAGGCCCC